TTCAATACATGTGCATTAACAGCATTGTAAAAATGAAACAAAAATATTTGCGATTTAATGTGACTCCAAACACATGCTTTGCAGTTTTGTGCTCATATTAGTATACCTTCATTTTTAAAATATTTACAGAATATATGTACTCTTAAAAAAGATATTCTCCAATCAGCGATCGAACATACAGAAAATTCGATCGATCTAACGTCTGAGCATGGTAAGTAATTAATAAAAAACATTTTAGTTTTTGTTAAGGGGCAAATCATTAAATCACATTGTACTTTTAAAATGTGGATCAAAATGAAATTCCGCACTCATCGATCGATTCCAATAAGAATTCTATCGATCTTAAGTCTGAGCATGGTAAGTAAATAATAAATAACTAAACGATTTTAATATTAGTTAAGAAACAAACATAATCACCTAGATACTTTTATTTTGCAGATGAAGAGACGAAAACAAACGACAGCAGCAAAAGAAGCTACCCAAAGCCTGCGCAAGAAAAAGCAAAGGAAAATATTATATCCTTAACTAAAAAAGCGTCAATATTATCGCAAGCAAATAGTACAACGATGTGTACCGAAATCCAAAAAGAGCTTGCCAAAACTAAGCAAGAAATTGAAAATGAAACAAGGACACTTAAGCGCAAGCAACAAATTTCAGAAGCTCAACAAAAATATAGATTGACGAAGAAAACAAAGCTGAGTACACTATTAAAAAAAATTTCAGATGCTCGAAGTCTCTGGAACCAAAGGTCTTCAGCCGGCAGACCCGCGATTGAAGACGACCAACCGCTTCTCCATAAAACAATTTTGGAGATAGCCATGTTTGGCAGTGCAGCGGATGAAAGGAGGCGCACTAACCTCATCAGGACTGTTAAAACCTTGACTGATCTCCATGAAGAGCTTAAAAAGCAAGGGTTTAATTTATCCAGAAGCTCAACCATTTGAGACTATTGCCAAGACGATCAACCTCAATTGAAGGAAGACGCCATGTCAGCACGGTACCGGTAAAGCTTTGTCGAGCCCAGACAGATTATCACAAGCAGCATGTGGATGGGCATTTTGCTGCAGCATCCATCAAATATCTGGAAAGCCTTGCCTCTGTTCTCGGCCCTGCTCAAGTTTTTTTTGTATCACAAGATGACAAGGCTAGGGTGCCAATTGGATTGACTGCTGCAAATAAGCAAGCACCTTTGCTCATGCATCTTGAGTACAAGATCAAGCTGCCAGATCACGATTGGGTAGTTGCCCCGAGGCATAAGCTAATCCCATCAGTTTATGCTGGGGTAATTATAAGTCCTGGAAAAATAGGAGACCCAAAAGCTGTAGGTTATTCTGGCCCCACATTTATAAGCATAAGGAGTGGGAAGCACTCGTCATCTACCGCAGAAACTCATGCCAAAGATTTTGACAGTATTCTTAATCTTGAGTCCTTTCAAGAAATAGCCAAAACCGATGATGGACAAGTCAAGCCTGTGGTATGGAAAGGTTATTTCCTACGCAGTGCAACATTTTAAGGCATACAATTTGGATGCAATTTTTGTTGCTACAAATGCTCCAGGTAAAATGTTTATCTAAGTCTAAACTGAATAGTTTTACAAACTCAATTTTTATTTCAGGATGAAGTGCGTTTAACCGAGTCGAAAGGAGAATGGCCCCGTTAAGCCGGGAGTTGTCTGGGTTGATTTTGCCGCACGACAAATATGGAACCCATTTGGACAACCAAGGCAGAACAACAGACTCTGACTTGGAGGAACAAAATTTTGAATTCGCCGGGAGAACATTGGCCGAAGTCTGGGGAAGCATGGTCATCGATGACTTTCCTGTGACTGCGCAATATGTTCAACCTAATGAAAAAGGGACAGAACTGGTTGACATTGAACAGTACTGGTATAAAGAACATGTTCGCGAAAGCCAATATTTTCTGCAAGTCGTTAAATGCCGTTCCGCAGAATGTTGTGGAGAATTTAGAAGTGGATTACTTCAAATTCTACCAGATAGATTTTTTCCCCCTCCGGTACGTGTTATTCAGGGCGTCTCAGAAATAATCGTTTCCGAGGACAATGAGAAGGGACATTTTCTGGACCTAATGCAACGCAGAGCTCTCGTGATATCAATAAATGAACACAACAAATATCTGCAGGTAAGCATTTACTAAATTTCATTTATTCAATATGCTATATCACAATCTCCACTTTTCTTCTAGGTTCCCTACGACTTGTATTGTTCGTCGGTACACAGTCAACTGAAAAAGCGTATGTGTAAAACGTGTGGATTGTATTTTGCATCCCAAAAGTCAGCAAATCTGCATGCTAAGATCCACAAAAATCCATCTGCAAACTTGGATTGCAAAGCAGATAAACATTTTTTTCGAGTGGCTGGGCGGCGAAAGAGGGAAGTTTTAGTGGTTCAAGCACACCAAGGCTGCGAAGACCTGGAATGGCTGGACGAAGATTACGTTGAAGATAATTTCAGTGTTGACGAATCGAATGTGTCATTCCAAACTCCAATCATAAAAAACATTAAAGATTGGCTTGCATCCCCGTTTGAAACCACAGAATAAAACAGCAAAACAAAAAAAAAATTTTCTTGTGATTACGTAATCATTGGGGGGGGGGAGGGTGTTTATTGAAAGATTACTGTTGATCACCAGGGGGGGGAGGGGGTCAAAAATCACCAAAAACGTGATTACGTAATATATGGACAGCCCCTATTCTGTGGCCTAGTGCTTAGAGTGCTTGACTTTGTTGGTTGCGGCCCCGGCTCAAGTTTAAGTATCTGTGAACTTAGAAATAACTTCCATATAAATTAATATAAAAAATTAAATTAAAAATAAAAATAGATAAAAAAAAATTAAAAAAAAAAAATACAATTTTTTTTCGGGTAAAATACTATTTTGTAGGTTATTTACTATTTTATGGGTAATCACACAAAAAAAAGCACGTCGCCGTAAAATCGATAAGTCCAGGTAATTTTCTGGTTATTCCTACTCATATCGTTTTTACCTGAAATATTCATAAAATTTACATTAAATAATATCATTTTGCCGAATTCTCTCTCTCGGAGATTCCCTAACTTCGAAAAAGAGCGCAAGAATCAATATGGCGAGCAAAATGACATGAGTGAAAGCGAGAAAGAAGTATTCGAAATTCGAACTGACGTACTTCAAAAGCATGTTTTCTCGCTCGCACAAGTATAAGTTTTGTTCGACCATATCACATTTACCTGGCCCCATATCAAGTTAAAAATGATCTTAAAAAAGTTCAAATTGACCTACGATTCATATCGATTTTTTTTGGGTGTACTGTTTTTTTGCTCATTTTCTTTTTTGTATGGGTTGGGGCAGATTTTACTATTAACTAGTTGATTTTACATAGTTTTTTTTGTGTGTAGTATTTAGAAAAATTATGACTAACGAATCGAGTTACTATATTTAAAATTCTTAATATCTTTTAAACGCGAGTATTCCTTGAAATGCGGCCAAATGTCAGAACTAAGGAATCTCAAAAGCTATAAAATCGTTGGTCAAGAAACTTTGATCGTTGGGATCAATAATGAACAAGAAAGGAAGCTAGATTCGGCCAGCCGAAGCTTATATATCCTTGCAGATAATTTTAAACGCGAGTATTCCTTGAAATGCGGCCAAATGTCAGAACGCGAGTATTCCTTGAAATGCGGCCAAATGTCAGAACTAAGGAATCTCAAAAGCTATAAAATCGTTGGTCAAGAAACTTTAATCGTTGGGATCAATAATGAACAAGAAAGGAAGCTAGATTCGACCAGCCGAAGCTTATATATCCTTGCAGATAATTCCTATTAATTTACAAATCGCAAAAATGTTAATTTTCCTATTATTTCTCATTAATTTTGCGTTCGTTTCAATGGCAGCTATATGATATACTAGTTCGATTTTGATAAAATTAAAATCGAAATTCGAAAATATTTGAAAAGAGTTATTTCCTAGAGTAGAAGAGAATACAATAAAAACCAACGAAGCAATAATTTATTTCCTATTATATTCCCATTAATTTTCCGATCGTTCCTATGGCAGCTATATGATATAGTCGTCCGATTTTGAAAAAATTTTGTTCGAAATTCAGAATTAGATAAAAAATGACATTTCCAAAAGTAGGATGTTATAGGTTCAAAAACACCCAAGATATAATTTTTTTACATTTTTTTTCGCGATTGTTCCTATGAGAGCTATATGATATAGTTGTCCGATCCGGCTCGTTCCGACTTATATACTACCTGCAATAAAAATAAGACTTTTGGGAAAGTTTTATCCCGATAGCTTGAAAACTAAGAGAAACGGACGGACAGACGGACGGACAGACGGACAGACGGACATGGCTAGATCTAGTGATGCTGATCAAGAATATATATACTTTATGGGGTCGGAAACGTCTCCTTCACTGCGTTGCAAACTTCTGACTGAAATCATAATACCCTCTGCAAGGGTATAAAAAACCGCCAAAAGTTGCTTAAACATTGCTTAGACATTTATCCATAACTTTGAACTTATTCAATTTGGAGCAATGATGTTTAGGCAACATGATTAGCATTCTTAAAACCGACAAAATGTCATACGTATTCTAAGGTTGTTACAGAAACGATTTGGCAAAATTCGGAAACTTCGAGACAACTTTGTTTATAAACCCTTACGGGTATAAACAAATCGCGAATTCATGCGTGTAATTTGAATTAAACGACAATATCGGCGAAAATGAGTGTTTTAACCCAGCTTAAATCTAAAGCACCATGCAGGTAGCTTTAGCTGCAACGACCCCATAAATGATTTGTATTCTGATTACGTTATTAGCTTTCCGTGATAACACAGCGCTACATTTTTAAGGTTTTAAGCTTATTTGCTTAAAACAGCGAAATATTATTTATTATATACCTAAGTAAAAATTTCTGTTAAATTTTTCAGGTTGCACTGTGTAATTATAAAATAAGTGCCACCAAAGGAAGTAATATTGAGAAGGAAATTAGGTAGAAATGCCATTTTATTTAAAACACTGTTGTTCGTTTTTCGAGATCAAAAATAAGTGCGATGCGTGATAGACTGGTAATTCTGGCTCTCTTCGAAGTGCTGTTCACCTATAAAGTACGATTAAATGTAAGTCCTCCCCTTATAACAATTACACATAATAATATCTACCAACTTTTTAAGGATGCGGTCGTTTTTAAGTTTACGAACTTCGCTTGTGAGAGTTACAACACATCCTGGTTCGTCTTTCACAACTGTCGCTTGAAGGCTGTGAGTCGGGACAAGGTTCTCCTGAATTTGAATGGAACAATTTTACATCCATCTAACGATATACACATTCACGGCCAAGTTTTTAAGAGGTTCAATGGCTACAAACCGTGGCTGTTTAAAGAAGATGTAGACGCGTGTCGCTATCTACGGCGTCCTTACATTCCTGTTGCAGCTATTGTCTACGGGCTCTTTAAGGACTTTTCAAATATTAACCACACATGTCCTTACGTGGTAGTTTATGCAATTTTTGTATTGAAAATTATTAACATATGTATTATGTGTTCAGGGTCCACAGATTGTTAAGGACTTCTATCTAAGGCACGAACTACTACGGCTTCCCTTTCCCACTGGTGATTACTTGTTGTCCATGAGGTGGCATTTCGATAAGAAATTGCAATTTGATACAAACATTAGTTTTACATTTGTCGAAGATTTTGTTAAAAAAAAATAAGCAATGCTACGCAAAAAAAGAATTGATAAATATGATATTCCCGAGATAAATTTATTACGTATCATTTTTACCATTGAACAATTCAAAAAATTAAAGGTTGGCATAAAACGTTAGATTTTGAAAGAATCAAGATTTGTACTGACCCATAGTGCAACAACGCGTTGACGTTGCAACGTCTAAAAGATTGAAGTTTCATACGAATTTATTTGAATTGATTTTAGCTTAAAGCTACATACATCCATACACTCAAAAAAAAATTTTAGAAAATCGCCTATGGATTTGCTTTACTGGCGATTTTTTTCTATATTTCTGGAATATTTCTTGAATTTAATGAATTTTGATTAATTGGAAGAAAATTTTCTTTACCAGTAGAAAATTTTTTTATTTTAAAGAAAAAAATCGCCAGTGAAGCAAATCCATAGGCGATTTTCTAAAATTCAGGGCGATTCATTTTCTGAGTGTACATTTGTACATACAGTTTGTCAAGTAATTGTTTGCAAAATGAAAAATGACATAGAAATTATATTCTAAATGGAAAATGCCTAAGCAAATACTAGATTTTTTAACTTTTTTTCTTTTGGAATATTGTTTTGTAAACTATTATCTTTCCGATTGAATCAAAACAATTCTAAATTTCACAATAAAATACCATCAAAAAAGAAGAAAAACGGAAAAGAAGAAAAAACTCCAGTTTACAAAAAAAAAAACGAAAAACAAATATATTATGAATAAAACCTTGGTTTTCCGATAAGGTACATCTTCCTGATTAAAAAATGGCACTTAAAAATTTTTTTATGGATAAATTTTTTTTTTAAGTGTAAAAAACGTTTTTGAAAAAAGTTGTAAAAGTGAGAAAAAATGCAAAAATGCTGGCATAAATGGCATCGTTAAAAATACACGCCTAAAAACCGAAATTAGTATTATGACTTATACTTAAAGATACATCTTTAAGTCAACTAACAAGACCATCAATAAAAAAATCAATCAATAGTTCGATTTTATATCGATTTTGATTAGCTTGTTTTTTTTTCAAAGCACCTTCTACCAGTAGAAGTTATAAAAATAATTTCGGTTTTTAGGCGTGTATTTTTAATGAAGCCATTTATGCCAGCATTTTTGCATTTTTTCTAACTTTTTCAACTTTGACGAAATGTAGCTTCTAAACTAACGAATGGAACTCAATGCAGTGTATAAGAAAGTTGGAGGGCATTATATTACCTGTAAAATGAGTCATTTATGGTTGAAATCGGTTGACCACAACTCAAGTTAGAAATTAAAAAAATGTGGAAAACGTTTTTTACACTTAAAAAAAAAAATTTATCCAAAAAAAAATTTTAAGTGCCATTTTCTTAATCAGGAAGACGTACCTTACCGGAAAACAAAGGTTTCATTCATGGTATATTTGATCGATTTTTTTTTTTGTAAACTGGTGTAATCGGCTGCAACTAAATTTTTGCAAAATGCAAAGAATTATTTGACTTATAGCTATAGCTTAAAAACGGCTAAAGTTATTGTACTAATTTTTGGTGGGGTCCTCGTGGTGGATGACCTGCATTTATACGACCCGGAATTGAACGTCTAAGGACATTTTTAATTCTACTTTTAAAGGATTTTTTTCCCTAACACTAGTATTTATATTTATAGCCGAGTGACGGGTATTAGATAGTCGGGACACGAACCCGACTATAGCGTTCTCTCTTGTTTATTATTCATGCGTTATCGGCTGTCCTTTGCATCGAAGGTACCAGATTTTCAACTAGGGTTAAAGCCGGGACTTAGGAAAGGACTGTTAGTAACTTTTTTACCTTGATAATACAGTCGTGTCCTGAAAAACAACGAGTTTTATTACCAGTCTTGGTCCTGCTAGCATTTTTAATTTTTTGAGTGGTTTTGAGTGGTAAAAGCGGCAACATTTTATGCGTTTTTTGACAATTCCCTTAAAGGAATATCCAACGAAAAATCCTGCATCATTATTTCATCAGAAATAAATTAGATTACAATTTTATCAGGACACCGGCCCACAGTAATTAACTGCAATTAAAGAATACAATTTTGGATCGTCAGGAATCAAGTTAATTTATAATAATCGCATTCAAATATTCCATCAGAATTCGCTAAATTTGAAATTGTTGAATAAAGTTCCCCGAAATCCACTTCTATTTTTGTCCCGAGCGAATACGGCAGTTTTTTAACGATATCTTAAAAACTAAAAGTGGTAGAAAATCAAGATTTTTACACAAAATAGAGCTTGGGAGAAGTGAAAAGAAAAGCCCATTATTAAAATTAAAATTAAAATCCATTTTTTCCAATTTTTTTTTAGCTTTAAAGGCATGCAAATGTCCCGAGCGACAATATGGAAGTGCCCATATACATTCATAAGCATATCTGCATACTTAGTTTTGGATATTTTTGTGAACTCGCGGTTAGAATAAATAGAAACATTTTGTGTTTACCTTACCTATACTGAATTTTATTGATATCTTTGTCAAAAAATGTATTATGTAGATGTCCTTCTACACAATTGCATTTAAGGTTCCATCATAATTTGAGTCACTCAAAGCTTACGGGTAGTTGAAAGACCCTGAACTCGGAAAAAATGGTTCAATTTAATAAAATTTATAAAGTTGGAAAAAAAGATTTTTTTTCTGATTGTTAACAGATGTTCAGATTCTTAACATAAGCCTTACAGCCGTTAACAGTTAAAAACGAGGACGGAAGCTAACTTCGGCAAGCCGAAGTTTTAATACCCTTGCAGATTTTACGAATTAAAACTTGACTAGACTAGCAACATGAATTAATAAACAACAAAATATTTTATAATTGAAAAAATAAAATTTTAAAATTTTTCACCCTATTGTTCCTATGGGAGCTATAGGATATAGACGCCCGATCGGCACGCGCGTTTACCCTAATGAAGGTACGCACAAAAAAATACGATTTGGAAAGTTTCATGGGAATAGCTAATATTTTGCGCGAAATATCCTGAAAAACGTCAAATTTTGACCGATTTCACCCTATTGTTCCTATGGGAGCTATAAGATATAGACGTCCGATCGGCACGCGCTTTTACCCTGATCAAGGTACGCACAAAAAAATACGATTTGGAAAGATTCATGCCAATAGCTCTTACACTGAGCGAAATATCTTCATTTTTGTGAAAGCTATATCCGATTGTTCCTATGGGAGCTATAGGATATAGACGTCCGATCGGGTCGGCTTTCAAACTTGATCTGCGTACACATGTTTTAGGACGACTGTGAAAGTTTCAAGGCGCTAGCTTTTAAACTGAGCTCGCAAACGGTATTGAAGACAGACGGACATGGCTATATCGACTCCCCTATTGATCCTGATATCCTGATCCTGATATACTTTATGGGGTCGGAAACGTCTCCTTCACTGCGTTACAAACTTCTGACCAAAATTATAATACCCTCTGCAAGGGTATAATAACCTAAGCAGTTAAATTTCCTAAGCTTTAAAAATTAATATACAATCACAAAATTGGTGGAATTTATACATAAAAAAAAAGCTTGGTAAAACTAACCAATATAATTGTCAAACAGTCCCTAACCACAAACATTTTCAATTCTACCAATCAAAGAGTTACTTTCACAAATTTAATCTGGCAACGCCCTTGATTCGTAAAATTAATCTGGCAACGCTCTTGACTTTTAATTCACTAGTGATCGAGGGAGCTGCAAGGAAATTTATATTTCCAGGGCTCTGTAAAGTGTCATTGCCGACTAACACGCCATCTTTAACAGCCCTGTTAAGTGACATCGTGTGTAAAGTAAAATAACTTATCTGTAAAACTTTATATTTTACATTTTATAAGATACTTCGAAAATGAGAGAAGTAAAAAAACGAAGCGAATTCAAACCACTTAAAATTTTTTCCAACAGATGGTGCTTTTTATACTTAATCAAATTATACATTATGAAACATCGTTTTCAGTTATTAAAAATGTAATGCTTACCTTTTATTATATTTGTTACTTGTAAAATATAGAATATAAATCGTTATCTTAATTAAGGAAAAACATAAAAACTTTTAAAATTATTCGACTTAATTTTTCTAAGCATTATGTTAAAAAGTGGTTTGATCTAATACTAAATAATATAAAGTCTATACTCAGTAGCATTAATTTTACACTAAAATAATAAGGTTTGTACAATAATCTGTCAAATATTCCTAATTTCACAAATAATAAGATAAGAACTTTTTATATAATTATATATTTATGCAAAAAAATTAAATTAAAAGTGCAAAATAGAATAAATTTACGTTAATAATTATTGACTATTTTCTTGTTAATAAATTTTTTTACATTCTTAAATATATTTTTTTTAACTGCTGTGAGCTATTATTGTTTTGTTTTTCTTTTATTTTTATATCCTTGCAGAGGGTATTATGATTTTAGTCAGAAGTTTGCAACGCAGTGAAGGAGACGTTTCCGACCCCATAAAGTATATATGTTCTTGAACAGCATCACTGGATGAGTCGATCTAGCCATGTACGTCTGTCCGTCTGTCTGTCTGTCCGTCTGTCTGTTTCTACGCAAACTAGTCTTTCAGTTGTTGAGCTATCGGGATGAAATTTTCCCAAAAGTCTTCTTTCTATTGCAGGTAGTATATAAGTCGGAACCGATCGGATCGGACAGCTAAGTATATCTTATAGCTTCCATAGGAAGAATCGGAAAAAAAAGGTTAAAAAAATGCTAGCTTCGGTGTTTTTTCGAATATTACTTTCTACTCTTGGGAATAATTTTTTTTTATATATTTCTGAATTTCGAATAACTATATCATACAGCTGCAATAGGAACGGTCGAAAAATTAAATGGAAATTAAAAGGAAAAAAATTATATCTTTGTTAATTTTTATTAAATTCTCTTCTACTCTGGGATATGACTATTTTTAAATATTTCCGAATTTCGATTTTAGTTTTAAAAAGAATTAACTACTATATTATAAAGCTGCCATAAAAACGATCGAAGAATTAAT